AACCGGCTCGACAGGCAACCCGCCACCAGTTGCCCTCAGCTTCCGAATTTCTCGAAAAACCAGGTATCCACCAACTCCAATCAGCAGGAACCCGGTTATCATGAATCCAAATAGGTATAGGTCCTCGACGTCCTCCACGGAAAGAATTGAAAGGCATAAAACCCTCCAGCTCCTCCAGGCATCCATCGTGAAACCCGCAGGGTAGGTCCCGGCTGGACAAGTTGCAGCCCCCGCAGCTTGTCTTTGGGTTGAAAAGATTTTGTCAATTGCGTTGAGAGACCAGCCGACCAAATCCATGGTTGATGTTAGGCTTTAGGAAGTAAAAATGCAGAGCGAAACTTTGAGATGAGACAGGACAGAGATTGCAAGCAAGGCACCAAGGACAGGGGGTGGGAGGGAGAGAGAAACACGTCTGCACTCGCCGAGAGCAGGAAGAAGGTGCAGTTTGGATAATCCACCACACAAACATATGAAGCATGAACACATACAGATTTATTTGAGCTTTCAGGGCTTTTCAGACTGTTTAAAACACATCTAACAACCAGTAACAGCAGTCAATGGAACCCCAAAGAGGAGAAGAGTTGGATTATAGTGGTTGAAATGAGGTTAAACCTCTTCAATGAAAAAATGAGGTCAAGTTGGTTTGAGTTGTCGTTGATACGATTTATTTATTTATTTATTCTTTTAACAAAAAAGGTGGTTTTCTGAATGATTAACAACAGCTTCGCATGCAAGAGGAAACCAAACATTGAACCGGATACTGAGCGGTAGGACGCGTTTTCACAACCTCTGCACCTCGTTCTGGTCGTTGAAGCACCTGCGTTCCACAAGGGTCCAAATAAATAAAAAACATTCAAATATACATTTATTTACATGTGATCTCTGTGTTTCACACAAGATCGGGCAGCAGTGCCTCGGGCTTTTCATCAAACCTGGAGCTGAGCTCTCCACACATCGTCCGATCGTCTCAGGATCAAAAAGTGCAAAGAGAATCATTCAAAGTGGACGTTTCAAACGAACAAATTTGCTCACGTTTGGCCTCTTCTCTTTAATGACGTTTGATGCCCTTTAAAAAGCACAATTTGAAGGGATAAAATCGAATTATTTGGTGGAGAAAGAGGTCCCAGTTTGTTGGAGTGGTTTATCAAATCTAGCAGATAGAATAAGTCTGAAATATTGTCTTATTATCATTCGTTTTGCATTTCATGCCTTCAAAAAGTTGGGATGAAGGTCTTTTCTCATGGAGAATAAGGCCTATGGGTGATTTTAATCATGATTTTGGAGGGGGGGGAGCAGAGTCTGTTTATTTTTGAGGGGTAAACATGGGCAAATGAACCCCAGTTTGAGTAAGAAAATCTACTAAAGACTTCCTCTAGGGTGTAAAATGTCCTGAAACAGATGGAGAAATCACTTCTCCGGGTTCTGCAAGGGGGTGATTTTAACGGCAGAGGTGGTGTTGGTCGTGATGGTGGTGGTGGTGTTGGTCCCCAGCCCGAAGTCGGCGCTCAGCAGCCTCCTCTGGAGGAACGGCGGGCAGAAGGCGGAGACGTAGGCGTCCTTAAACCCGGAGTGGCAGAAGCAGTAGACCAGCGGGTCCAGCAGGCAGTCGGTGTAGGAGAGCACCATCAGGCTGTCGTAAACCTGCACCGCCACCTTCTCCGCCTCCTCCCAGCCCTTCAGACGCACGGCCAGGAGCGCCGCCCGGGCCACGGCGCACGGCAGGAAGCAGACGGAGAACACCACGACCACCGAGGTGACCACGAACACGGCCCGCCGCAGCTTGGTCTTGTCCCCGATGGTCTTCCTCCTCAGGCGGCTCACGATGCGGCTGGTGCAGTACACCAGGACGAAGAAGGGGATGATGATCTGGGAGAAGAAGACCACCTGTAAAAGGAACGAAAAGAAGGGGCTCCGTTAAAGCCGAAGTTGAGATTTACGGCCCCCGTTTCGGTTCGATTCAATTCAGTTTTATTTATATGGCGCCACATCACAACAACAGTTGTCTCACAGCGCTTTCCAAAAAAGACCCTACTCTGAAGTTAACTCATTGACTGGCAGCCATTTTCAGAACAGAGTGCCATACTGCCAGAGTTTTTTGAGCATTTTGACTGATTTTTCAAGAGCCACTGAATAGTTTGTGCTATGACTATGTAAACACCGAACACACCAAAAGAAAGAGTAGACTCTCTTCTTTCATCAGGAAAAAAAA